ACTGAGAGGGGAAGATGAGACAGAGGAATCTGTAATCAATAGAGCATATTCTCCTCTGGTCTATAAAATTAAATTTAGTCTTCATAAGTTTCATCATTGCATTCCTCTCTGCAAAAGTCTGTGAATCTCTGGCAAAGTGAGTCAATGTCTTCTAGGTAAGACATCATGTAATCAGTCAGTGTAATTGCCAGAACTCAAGTTTTGATTTTGAAATTATGTACATAATATTCTTTTTTATTATTTGTCAACAGTAAGTGTTATGTTAATATATGCAGTCACTTCAAAATAATCTATATGTATTGTATGCATAGCCATTTCTGCCCTGTTTAATTCCATTAGATTAGTGCAACGGTTCTTGATTTTCAAATCAGCTTCAGATTTCAATTTAGCATGCTTTTGGGAATCTCTTCATAATACTTCATTTTCAACAGAACAGCATGCATCTTATATTCAGGTCCAAGATTTTATCGGTAGTCTAGTTAAAATATTGCAAAATTCATTACTGATCCATCTAAAATCCCACCCACACAACACATCAAGAATCAGAATTATTCGATTAAAGCAAAAGGGGGAAAGCAGTCCTACAATTAAATCACTAATAAACATACTTTGACAGATTTCTTCTTCATTCTTCTTATCATGCCTTTTTTCTAATTGCCACTTGTCTCCCTCATGCAAGCACAGGGGAGCATGATAATGAGTGGGAGTTGCTAGCATACCACATCCCACCAGAAGTAGGATATTGTTTTCCTACTCTTTGTATTGGTTTGGGTTTATTTTTATGTTTCATCTGTGTGCTTCTTTCCTATTGATCTCCACTTCTATACTGTCTACTAGTTGCTGCTTAATTATAGTCATTTGATTGACTTTTGAAAAATACTTAAAGGCAAACTTCTTAAAGTATATTGTCAGTAAGAATTAGATAAAGCAATTAAGTAATTTAGCAAAAATGTATGAAGACTAAGGGTGGTGAGCAGGCCTTTAGTTAAGCCATAGGCAACTGAACATTTGGGTCTGCAGTTTACCGATTAATTGCAGTGATGATACTGTATTAACAGGGCAGCAAGCCTACAGTGTCTTTATTTTAAAGCTGCCAATATGCTAATGCAGGAAATTATATCTATTTAAAGATTTGTAATATTGAAGTTAATATAAAAATATAAAGAAACTGATTAACTGAAAAGTTTGTTATATCTCTTCAAGTGATGCCTTTGGAAAATGTTATCTTTCTGTAATTTGTGAAGAAATACTAATGGAAAGTATTCAATTAGACTTACGGAAGAGAAATGTTTAAGTCTTAAGAAAACAAGGACACCTTGCTTGCTGCTCTGCTAAATCAGTCACACACTGCTGATACAGGCTAGTTAAAGATTGAGGAACCATCATAAATCATCCTGAAGCCAACTTGTTATTAAATATGTCAAGAAGTGGAGCTCACTAAGTTGATAAAGGTGACATTCCAGATATGTTCTTCAGCTAGTATTTTCGGTTTCTCCAATTCAGAAAAGTAAAGATGAAAATAAGACCCAACAGGGGATGAAAAAATAAATACCTTCTGGCTTCTTCTGATTGTGGGCAGATTCAGAATATTTAATGTATATATTCTCATTAGGAATATAGCATAATAAGCAATGATAAGTAACATTTCTAGAAGCCACTACATCGCTTAGAATAGAAACTGCTTTTCACAAGAAATTCTGGACACAGACTGGATGTTGGTAGATTGGAGGTGGTGCTGTCAGAGCAGCAGAGTGAGACAACACCCAGGGGCCAAAATGTAGGGTATCCCCGAGTGGGCCAGGTGTGCTCCAGGGTACTTGGATAACCCCAGCCACAGGGACCAAACATCTCCCTGGGCACAGGGACAGGCAAGGCTGGGCTGTGGTCTTGCTAGTGAGACTGGCTGGGTGGAGACCATGGATAGAAAGGGCAGGGCTGTGGCACTTTGGGTTCCAGACCCATTACAGCCTAACTGGGGCCTGAACAGGGACAGCTGGGTCTCATGGTGAGTCCAAGATGTGTTAGTCTCTACTGGTTAACTGCTGATTTGTAAGATCACAGTAGAACAGATCTAAAGTGAGAATGCTTTAGGAAGCAAGATGAAGCTACTTCAGAAAGGGGAAAAAAAAAAAAAAAAGCAAGCCTGCTTTCAGCAGCAGTTTAAAAGTTGGAATCGAATGTCAGTAAATAATATCACAGAGCTGTATTGTAATTGCTTGACATAGCACTCTTTTTTTCTTTTCAGTGATGTTCATTACTTCTCTCAACATTTTGAGTAATCATGTTTCAGTTCGAGATATGTTTGTATTTCTTCTTAAGAGATTCCTGCAATGTTCCAACTTTCTAGCTCTGACTGGTGTAGCAGAAATGCTGTCATGGCCTGACCTAGTGACTGAGCACCTGGTGTGAAGGCAGGGCCAACCCAGGGGAGTTCAGCTGCATGCAGTGTGCCTGAGTGAATGCAATGGGTGGAGGCAGGATCTACCCTTTCCCAGACCTCATATCTGGGTTGGCAGTGGAAGTAAAAGTCTCTTGCTGGCGATCTTTGTGTATCAGAGGCATTCCAGGGGTAGGCAGCTTCTTTCTGTTATTTCTGCACCCCTGTCTGCTGCATTTGAGCTTTTCCTCACTTTCTGCGACCTAGGAGTTTGCTACTAAGTTACCATTGCTATTCTTTATATGGTGTTACAGTGGCAGGGAAGGGGAAAAACACCCCTGCATCTTCTGTTTATCTGAGATATTTATTTGCATTACTGAAGTGCGTTAGTGTCTCATTCTCTAGTGTGCATGTGCTCCTGCAGTAACCATTGACAGGTATAGTAGCATCTCATGGAAACAAAGTGGCCACGTGCTTTTTAGGAGTCTGGAGTAAGATATCTTCTCTAAGGTCACACAAGTAAAGTCGGAACTGTTGAAGAGAATGTGGTACGCTGAGTCTGTGTTGCTTTGCTTGTGAACAAGAACTTAGATGCTGAAGTACCTTCTACTGTTGGCTTTAATGAATCTCCTTAGAGACTATTTTGGTTTTTTATAATGTTTGAATTGCTGGCAATTTGAGTGCATTACTCAATATACACAGAATCCAATAGTACTCTGAAGATGATAAGGGATGTAACTGGAGTTTTGTCTATCACTACTCAAAAAGAAAGGTGTAAAACTATCCTGCTGTCCTTTAAATGCAAAGCTAAGTATGCAGACCTTTCTTCTCTCTCTCTCTCTCTCTCTCTCTTTTCTTCTTGAAATAAAATAGGTCCACAGTTGTTTTGGTTATTCAATTGGATCCTCTTGTGGCTTTGATGAAAATAAGGTTAATTAACTGAAGATAGGCTAAAGTTGATATCTGCTGATTTTTCTTACTTTTCTTACTTTACTAGATGTTTCCTTTAGCTTCAGCCTGCCCAGCCTCCTAGAGAACAAGATATAAAATTTGTCACCCTAATTCTGTAGTTTTGATACAGACAAGATGGAAAATGTCATCAAGCCTCATATGCTTATTCCTTTTACAAATAGCATGATTGTTCATTTTAAATTCAAGACAAAGACCTGCCCCTGCCCCCCAAAAAATAAAAAAATAAAAAAAGAAAAAAAAAAGCAAACCCCACCCCCCCCCCCCCAAAAAAAAAAAAAAAAAAAAACAAAAAACAAAAAAAAACAAGAAAACAAGAAAGGAGTGAGAAAACAGCAGTATATCTGTATTTTATGATTTGTTTGAACCTCCAGAAGTATTTATAGTTAATGAACTGTTCCTTTACCAAAAGGAATCTGGAAATTGACACCTTGTGCAACAATAATTGTTAATAGTAATTAGCATTCTGTTTTTGCTTAGCTCAGACTTTGCATAGAAAGTTAGTAATGCTACTTTTCAGATTCTGGGAGACAGTAAGGACTATCTTATAAGAATGAGAACAAGTACTTAAAATCATGAAGTTCCCCTTCTGATTTAACAGCTCTGTATATCTGACCAATAGCTGAGACTGATCATTTCAGCATTATCCCTTTTTCTTATTGAATATCTCAATAAATACATTTTTTTCTCAAAACAGTTTTGAATTAAAACAAACAAAAATGCAAAGACTCTTAGCCTAGGAAAAAAATCATTTTTTCCCTTCTAGAGAACACGATCATTTTATATCTAAGTAGGCAGTTCATTAGAGTCAAGTTAGAAGCACTGAGCTGGATGGATGAGTGCTTTTTATTATCTGTTAATGTACCAAGGTACTTAGTGATTTTCCAGGATTTTTTGATAAATTATAAGCTTTGTTCTACTCAAAGAGTGGTGTATTGTACTTTACATATATTTTGTAGCACCGAGTATGCACTAGGAACAATGCAAATGGCAGAATTATCACTCAAAGTTCATTATTTCATTGTGCATAGTTCAAATGCATGCAAATGAGGCAGAAAGGAAAAGAAATGGTTGCACTTTGTGAAGGGGTAGAGAAATCCCTTTGTGAAGGGGTAGAGAAATCCTGGACAGACATCTGTTTCTGACACATGACACAGTAGAAAGTGATGCTATCCTTGGGCCATAGGAGATAGTATAGGTGACTGGACTGAGTTATAGTCATTTGAGCATATTTAATCCTCAGTGTGACTGCTTCAGACTTAACACTTGAGGCTGTTTCTAGCAATGAGTGCTTCAAGGCAGCTGCTTAAAGGATTAAAACCAAACCAAAATAAAACAAAAAATATCTCATTAATAGAATGTTACTATGTTACTGATTCAGGGAAACTTTTCTAGAATGAACTAGGACCTCAGAAATCTAAAAAAAAATAACAAAAAAAAAAAAAAGAACTGTACTGACTTGAAAATGACCCTGAGTAAAATGATTGTCTTGTCAGTAATAATGCATGAGGGATTATAGCAAGAGTTGAGTGGGTTAAAAACTAGGCAAAACAATGTTAACTGTAGTATTATAATTTTTATGTCTTTTGTGTAATAACCTTTTGTGCAACTTAGTAAGTCATTTTATGTGATTTTATGTGTATATATTCTACAGCTGCACTCCAATTCCGACAAAGGTGATGGATCAGTCAAATACATTCTAACTGGAGAAGGAGCGGGAACTATATTTATTATTGATGACACAACAGGAGACATCCATTCAACCAAAAGCCTCGATCGAGAACAGAAGACGCATTATGTGCTTCATGCCCAAGCTATTGATAGAAGGACAAACAAGCCACTTGAGCCTGAATCTGAGTTTATTATCAAAGTACAGGATATCAATGACAATGCACCAAAATTTACAGATGGACCATACATTGTTACTGTGCCAGAGATGTCTGAAATGGGTAAGGAAATCAAGTTACTCTATTCAGCAGTATTTTAACAAAGAAAAAAACCATATGCTGTTTGACAATTTTATGATGCTGTATTGTATCGTTGGCTGTATGTGAAAAATATTACAGTATTACAGAAGACACCAGATCTTGTACATTACTAATGATTTTCCTTCTGAGAAAACAGTACGCATACATGCTGACTGTAAAGGAGTGTCACCCTCATTCTTGACTGGTTTATGATACGTGTTCCATTGCACTTCTAGGCAAGCTCCATTTGCATTCTAGAAACAAGATATATTTGTATATCCTTATTCAGCTACACTGTTTATTTCATTCCTTTATGTTTATAAAAGCAGTATATGTCATCCACTGAATTAAACAAATTCGAAGGAACAGTAATTCACTAGATTATTTTAGACCATACCCTCTTATCTTTGTTTACCTTTTTTAATTTTTATAAAGTGAAATGAGATACACCTAAGTGTTGATAATTTTTTTGTGTGTGTTTTAGAAATGTAGTTCAGATATTCTTATTCTTTGACGTGCCTTATTATACAATCAATTTTCTTTATAGCTGCTCTGCTGTTGAAATTAATTTATAACTGTAAGATCTCAATATCAAACATACATAATTAGCTGAGGATTGACAGGCAAATACAGCTTTTGTGATAAGTACTTTTAAAGAATGGTCATGACATTCAACCTGTCTAACTAAGTCTACTGTATTTATTAATGACTGGACAGTACAGATCACTATTTAATGAACATGCACTTTACCCTGTCCATTAAAATACCTACGCACTCCATCTAAGAAACTAGCTTGGAGTCCCAGATGTGTCAGATGTTTAACCTTTATTCTCTTCTCTGCTTGCTGTTTGTCAGATAAGCACATGATAGGTTTTAAACTTCTGCAGTGTACAATTGTAAAGTCAAAAGGGAAAAATACCCAAAAATGTGTAGTTGCTCAACTGTGACAACAATATTCATCACTGTATACAAACATTACTGTTGTCACTGAATCTTAATGTTTTGCAACCATTTGATCACTTTGAGTGGTGATGATGGTTCATATGAGTAGCTCAGAAAATAACAAAAATAGTTTGTTTCAGACTTGAAAATCAGATGCTTTGTCTTGTTGATGTTATTTTGGATGGGAGAGTACCTTGTGGAATTTTCCAAGTGTATGTAAGTGAAAATAATTTTAAACTAGAGATCTGCATTTGATTGATATTCTCTGGTACCTCATGATGTTGTTGTGCTGAGTTCAAACATATCTTACTATGTAATGAGGGAGTTTTAACCTGTGTATGTAAGGAGACCAATTTCACAGTATGCAAACAAATACATGGAGAGATTAAATGGGTCAAAATTCTGACCTACATTACAGATAAGTGAAATAGTATATTCCACATCTACATTTCTTTTCTTGCACATACAAGTGAACTGTGGCATTTGATTGATTTGCGAAACTGTAGTAATCTAGTAATCCAATTCTGGAAGGACCAAAATGTATTAAATATTATTTCTGAGCCATTGATTTCAGTTTTGTGACAGTTTAAAGTCAGACTGATTTCTAAATCAGTAGATTTTTTGTTGACCCGAGTGATGTTAATTTTGGATCGAAAAGAACACTATCTACTGTACTCTAACTTTCATGTAAAATCAGACTATATTAAATGGACTTTGAAGCTCACCAAATATCATGTATCAAAAGTACATAACATTTTCTCCTCTCACTTTCTTCTTGCTTTCATTACTGCCTCTTTGTTCTTTCTGTCACTTCTAGTTCCCTGAAATGTGGGAATAATTCCTTGATTTTTCTTCTTAAAATGTCCTCTATATATGATGTTCTGAAAAATACATACGTCTCTGCATGATAATTGTCTTAATCTGACATTTCATTCTGCATAGTTTCTTGTAGCATTTTTATCCTTTTTCTGTCCTCTTCCCAAGTCCTCCCACACTGTATGCTATTTCAGATGTCTCCTCTCAGCCATGGATAATTCTGAGCCTTTTCTTCCTGCAGTCCTTCTTACAACAAGAATGTATAAAAGGAAAAACAACTTTCTTTGGTCTCCTTTTATTTCCTTCTCTCTTTTTCTTTCATTGTTATTCCCATATTGGTTTTTAACTTCCCTTTTATGAATTTTCCTCTTTGAACAGTGAGTTTCTTTTCTGTCTTCTCTTTCCTCAGTTTTCCTTTGTCTTTAAAGAAGACAATTCAAATTAATTGAATATTTTTTTCCTTGTTTGTGGAATACTGTTATTTATTGGATGGGAGGACAGAAGGGAAAGTAAATCAATGATATCCTCCAAGTCAAGAGCAGCCAATATTATTATTTCCTGTATGTATTTTTGTTATCTCAAAAATACATCATTAGTATTTAGATGTTAGTCATAATTTTTTAGCCATCTGAATCTAAGTATTACAGTACAGATTTTCCAGAGAGCAATTTTAATTATCCTATGATGACATTTTGGGTTATAAATCAGAGTGGATTGCGATAAATCAAGGAAGTTTTTGAAAATAGAGCATTAATGTTATGTTTTATAAATAAAATACTTTACTGCTTGTACCCAAGGTCAGCAACCTGTTCCACAGAACTTTTCTGTGGTATGAATAGAGTTTTCATATCCTTCCATACAGGCAATCTGCTGTAGGCATGCATTGTATTTTCTATTTTTTATCATTCTTTTCCATTTACTGAATTTTTGTGTTTATTGCATATTGTAAACAAGTTTCTGCTTGCGGTCTCTGGAAGAATAATTCTATTAGGGCTTATATAGGATATATTCTTTCTGTCAAATAATAGAGATTCATCATCCTTATGCCATTTTCATTTGGTCTGTAATTAGCTTGAGTTTCAACATTTAGCTGTGGATTCTGTATGTGACTTAAGATGTTGTTATTTTATGAATTCCTAGGGAGTCATCAGTCCTTCCATTTTTATTTACTTGAACTTGTTACAGAGATGTTAGAACTGAAAACTCTTTACAATATTCATGCAAAGTGATGGATGATATTTTTCATCTTTGCTGTGCTGCTTAGTTTCTGCAGCAAATTCCTGTCTGTCCTCAAGAAGTTAGATGGTGTTTTTCCCACATGTTGTAACTTTCTCTTTTATTAAAAGAAGATCAAGAAAGTAGGTGTAGAACCTTTAAGGTTCTTCATTTTTAAGTCACTGTCAAGAGAGTACAGTGAACTTTTATTGAACTATTTGCCAAATATTAGATCACAGTATTCACAGTTGCAGAGAATGAACGTGTTGCTTATGCTTTATCTCCTTCACTGAAAGAGCTGGGAAGAAAAAAAAAAAAAACAACTCGCCTATTCCTTGCCTTCACTGAACCTCTTTTCTAAAGGTTGGTTGAAAAGCCAATGTTTCTGTCTGAAATGACTTCTCCTACCATGAGATCTACAACTGCACTCTGTTTTATGGTTTATATGAGTGCTGATTATCTAAATGTAAAAGGAAATAGAATCATTTTCAGTCAGTAAAAGCCTTCCATATCTGCTCATTTCTGTATATGGCTTCAAAATAATGAATTATTGCATGTTAACTTTTCTAGTGTTGCATAAAGAAGAGTATTCCCAATACATCCTACTTAGGCAGTTAATAGACACACTGGGCAGTTCTATACTTCTTCCCAGATTATTGTAATGTGAGACAATCATAATTCCAGATAATTTGAAAGGCATTGTTCACGTGTTCATAAATATGATTTGCATATGAAATGTTTATCTTTTTGTGGGTTTGATTTTGGTCTTCTAATAAAGATAGCTGACTCAAAAATATGGGGAGTTTTTTACAGTATGATCTTGGATCAGTGCTGTTGTCACTGGCTTCCAAGAGTTAATTTTCTGGTGAAATCATTTTTCTAATGTAGGATGAAACTAAAACATGTGTTGGCTTGTTTCTGATTTAATACTAGCTTAGGAATTAGTTTAGTTAGGCAGGAAATCCCTGTGTTCATTGAACTTAACCTTATTTTCACTTTGACTTTTTTTTTTCCAATATTGATCCATTTGAGTTTTTAACAGTACTGCAAACTATGGGAAGTCATGCATACAGATTTACATTCTCAACAGACATGTTTTATTGGACTACTTCATTAAACATTAAAAATTTGTCTTCAGAGAGACGGGTTGAAATATTCCTTTCAGTTTTTCCTTGATATTTAAACATTTTTACTGTAAAAATATTAACAAAAATAAAAACAAAAAACATTTCAATACAAAACTACAATTTGATTTCCCAAATAGAATGATTGTTATTTTTGATAACAGGAAAAATGGCAGAGTTACCAGAGTGATGCTCAGAGCATGCAGATGTATTTTACAGAATAAAACAGCTAAGAAAATGGAATTCCCAATATGTAATCTCTAAACTGAAGGGGGAAATCATGTGGAATGGTAGTTGTATTCTGAATAAGCAGAGCTTCCACTTTGGGGAAAAGAAGTCTTTTTATTGCCTAAGTGGAGTGTCAGAATGCTTTCGTGGCAGAATTTTTGAGTTTTCCTTGACAGGTACTTTCACAGTACGTTAGTGAAGAAAGTATGGAAGGCATGCCTCTGGGTCCAATGTTCGTATCTATTCAGAAGTCTGCAGGGAAATTAGATGCTTATTTTTTGTACTACATTATTTTATTCAGAATGTTTAACATTAAAAATGGCATCTCAGTTGTACTGTATTCTTTTCCATCTAAATTGTTCACTACACCTAGTTGCTACATGCAACTCAGCAACAAAAAACTGATGCTGTATCTGAATGGTACAAATACATTTGAGGTCATGATTTGTCATTTTAATGAGCTGAGTAAGTTAACTTTGAAGGAGTAACTGAAAGGCAAAGATACGCTTTTAAGCTTTTTTCTTTTTTTTTTCCTGTGAGGCATTCTAACCTACAGTTTTCCAAACTGTTTCCAAATAAACTAGTTAGACAACAGGCCGATTATAGGCATATTCTGTAAGATACTGAGCATACTTACTTAATACAATGGAACGTTTCCCTAGCACAGTGAAAAGGTTAGCACCTGATGGGCTACTTTGCACTGAAAGAGTGCTTGAGAGTTGGGGTGGTGGTGCAAAGTTAAAACCTGTGATTCTAAGTGTTCTCTCAGATGTAAAGAGAACATTTTCCCACTATTCAGACTGAAATTGCTATTATCTGGTGTTTGCTGGGGAAGAGATACATATGTATTAGAAAATCACTTAACCGGAATTTAAGGTATAGTAGCATTCCATTCATACTGAAATGACCTGCCAGCTGCTCGTGTGAAATATCTCCTTTCTTTAATCCTCTTTCATTGTCCCACACCAACTAGCAACACAAGCACTCAGATTTGATACCCTATTTTTTAAAATAAGGGAAGTGGAGAAGAAAGTATGTGAGGAATGATAGTACCATTAAATGATAAATTTATTTAATGTATTTTTATTATCTGAAATAGCTAGGCTCATACTTTCCGAAGCCTACCTTGAATTTCAAGAGTTCTATGAAAAAGAGCAAATGAGTAGACAACTTGTAAGAAGAGTAGAAACTGCGCTGCAGAAACTGTTGTTTCTAAAAGCAGGAAAATCTCTATATAAAAAGGTACAAAAGTTGCCCACCACCCTGGTAACAAAGCCTGGTAGGTGGCTACCGATTGGATAGATTTATTTTGTTGTATGCAGTTGAAAAGTATAAAATCAGTGTGTCTCACTAACTTGGCAATATTAAAAATTCCACAAGTAAAATTTCAATTTAAAATGATAAACCATAAATAGGGCTGTAAGCAATAAATGAATAATGGATTAATTTTCACCACTAAATACAACAGCTGAGCTACAGTAGTACATTCTAATAGTGTTTAGAGGAGTTGTAAAAAAGGATGTAAACCCCTCATTTTCTGTATTTCAGGTGACCTGTTGTTGTTTGCATGAATTCTTGTGCTAAAATGAGATAACAATCAATATGGCTGAATAGATTCCTACAGTATTCTAAGAAAATCACATGAACTTCATATTTAATTTTCTCAGTGATTTAGTCAATTTTACCATTAACTCCTGCATAACTATGAATAGCTTACTAGCTTCAGCTTGATTTTTATTACAATTTTCAAGTTTTCAAATTCATCAAGGTATCCTTTTATCTACTGTATGAATATATACAGCTGTGAGACTATGCATTTGGGCTGTTTCAGAGACCACAAGGTACTGTATTTAAGTATGCATATGCATTTACTGTACCTTTTACTAAAGCTCTGGTAGGGACACAAGAAGAGACTTTCTGTGTCCAAGTTAGTATATTAGAATGAAGGAATACTTTTTGAAACAACAATAAGTATGTATCTGCCAAGATTTGAATCCAGTACTCTAAGTGAGAACCAATGATTTTAAGTATTTCAGTTCCCAATGTAGACTGAGTATTAACATAAAAATTAGTTTATGTTACATTAACAAATAGCTCTGTGCATTGGAAACTGATCTACAAAGTCGAGTAGTTGAAACTATGTAACTTGGATTCCATGTTCCTACCATATGTTCTTGGGAAACCTTTCAGATTAGCTCTGGTCTGGTTGAGACCAAATGCCTCTCTGCAGTCAGGGTAAATTAGCCATGCTTCTACTGCACATCTTCTGGGTTAGTTTAATTGGAAGGAATCTAATTGGCATGCTCTGGCATTCCATGAGGCAAATCGAAGTACAATGAGGGAGATCAAGGGATTCAAGTCAAAAGCATCTTTCTCTTCAGAACTGAAGTGTGAAATTGAACACCCCAAAGTGCAAGTGATCCCTCATGGCTAATTTAGCTGGGAAGCCATTTTCAGAATTATGGAAGAGCAGCCTGTGCTCTCCTTTATTTTAATAAACCTTTCCTCTGTTTTTTTTCTGTATTTTAATACTGAACCAAAAGAGTCTGCTGAAAGCTGTGTCTATAGAAGAATATGCATATGGGAAGAAGACAACACCTTGATTAACTTCCTTTTACTGTTGTTTTTATGTGAAGTGCTGGGCAAAGATAGAAAAACAGATTCATCATTAAATGTCTTGAAAAATACAGTGCATTTAAAATCGCTTATCTTCATTATATCTGATACGTTATCTTAATCACAATTGGTGGCACATCATTTTTTCCAATGGTATCTTTTAGCTGCATACAAGTGTTTGGTTTTTAAACTCCTTATTCTATTATTATTTTTTTTAATATTGTATTCATCACTGGAATTACATCAGCTTTTATGTAATTATTTGATTCGCAGATCTTTTATACCTTCTGATAGCTTGATTTTTTTTTTTAATCCATTGGTGTCTTTTATTGCTTTGAGGCCATTTATGAAAATAATTTTAAATATGTGTTTCAGCAGTAATTTGTACCACAAATGATGATAATCCTGAAGTCTGCGAATATGAGTTGTTCATAACTCTTAAGTATCACCAGATTTAGGATCTGTATGTGTGAACAAGCACGAATACATATGCTGCGAAGTTATGTATATTTGTATATGTGTAATTAAGTTACTTTTATACATATAGGGAGAATGAGAATTGTTTTTTTCAAGTGAGCATAAAAATATACTGCAGTCATCATCATCAATGAATGAATCACAGGATCATAGAATGGCTTGGGTTGGAAGGGACCTTAAAAAACATCTGGTTACACACCCCCTACCATGGGCAGAGTTGCCAACCACTAGGTCAGGCACTAGGTCAACCTGATGGGGCCGAGGACCCTATACAATCTGGCCTTGAGCATCCCCAGGGATAATGCATCTGCAGCACATCTGGGCAACGTGTTCCAGTGCCTTACTACTCTAAACACAGCCAGAGCTCAAACCTGCATCCTTCGTTACATGAAACTGACACTGGATGAGCACTCCAGTTACTAGGCTAAACCAGCTCCCACAAACTGAGGACTGCTCCAAAAGTAATGCTTCATATTTTATGTTTTCCTGAAAGGATAAGGATGGTGTCTGACATGAAAATGTGTACAAAGCAAAGGAATTGAATTTCTCTATGCAGAAAAAAATTGCCTCTACTGATATTCATAGAAAATTGCTGAAATTTTATGGCAACCAAGTAGTGGATGTGAACACAGTGAGGTGACATGTAATGGGTTTCAGCAGTGGCAAAAGTGGTACTGAGTCACCTGTGCTGGTGCAGATTTTTACGAGTGTGGCATGCAGGCTCTTGTTTATCACTGGCTAAAATGCATAGCTAGTAGGGCTGATGGTGTTGGAAAATAGTATTTTGTAGCTGATAATTTGCTTTGTCAAATAGTGTTATTGTGCTCTTTGTATCTGTTGTAGTTTCCATGGAAATAAATTGGAGGCATTACGTTCAGTACTACCTGTGAACTAATTCTAATACTAATAATAATAATACAGAGACAATGCCACTGATCTCTCAATATCAGAATATGAGGAATGCAAGTGTTTTAGAAATGTACCTATAAATGTTTCCTATTTGCCATAAAATTACACGCATTATCAACTAATTTCTATTTTCCTATATACACAGGTACATCTGTTCTACAGGTGACAGCAACAGATGCAGATGACCCTACGTATGGAAACAGCGCCAGAGTAGTATATAGTATTCTTCAGGGACAGCCATATTTCTCTGTTGACCCTAAAACAGGTGAGTGTTTTACGTATCTATCAATGTGATTTGGTTAATATATTGCAGTTAATAAAGTTTGGTAGATGGAATCCAGTGTAGAAAATATGTGGGTGGGTGGCAATTTTTTTTTTCTTTAGTTCCTGTTATATCCTACTTTTGGCTTTAACACTAAAATTTTAGAGTTGCTATGTTTCACTGAGTACTAAAATGAGCCAACTGGGTACCGAATTAATTCTGCATTATACCATGATATGAGCCATTCAGCGAAAGTGGAATAGCACTTTTACATCTCTTCAAGACTCTGTTTAGGAATTGACTCAAGTGTGCTGAATATATTATGATTTTAAATGCTTTGTTTTGCCTGATGGGTTGGCTTAGGAGGATTATTATGTGCCTGAGTACATATCACATTATAAATTAATATCATTGTTGTATTTATAAAACTCCTGTTTTGTCATTGCATTGAAATTGTATTCTCTGATTCAAGAAGTAGAATGAGTGAAATTATTTATGCTTACACTATGCATCAGTAAAAGAAATGTCCTTTGGAGCTGCAGGTTAATATCTTTAGATTATCTGAAGGCCATTTTCTTTATAAATATGATGGCATTTTCTTTAGAATATATTTATAGTCCTTAATATTAAACAAGTAAAATGTGAGAGATCTTTTTGCATCTGAACTTTTAAACTATTTTTCCCTTTTCTTATCGAAGAATGAAATCCTTTCTACTTATCTGTCATGATCCATACACTTAATGTATGGAAGACAATTGTGCTGAAGTGAAGAAAGTGTAGTAGAAATTGTTTCTGTTGCAACTTTTTTCCATTTAGATATCTTATGTATGTTAGTCTCCGTGGAATTTGGAGGCATGCACTTGCTTCAGTACAAGAGAAATTTGTCTGTAGCACCTAAGGTGGCTTTTGGGTTATACTTCCTTTGAGTAGGAGGCTGGACTAGATGACTCCAAGATGTCTCTTGACATAACTCATTCTATAAATTGCTGAACTCATTCTAGAAAGACCTAAGAGTGCAAGGCCTGACAGGGGTAGCACTGAAGGGTTGTATAAAGTGCTTGGGGGTAAACTTGATGCAATCCTGTTTGTACCATGTTCCAGAAATGACTGCTGGTTGCACACCTTAGCCTACAGACTATGAGCTGACACAAGTAAAAGCATTCTGGAGTATGTACAGCAAATCAGTGGCACAGTACTGAAGCTCTCTCTGCCCTTCTTTTACTTAGATATACAATTCTGGCCTACATTTTTATTTCTCTTTTGTCACTCTGAGTCAGTGCCGTATATTTTTTCTTTTGACAATAGTGTGGAACATGTAGTCTGGAGCTGTTATTTATTCAATGAAGAATCATAATGGGTGTTCTCAATACCAGATCTGTATCATAAAAGAAAATAATATTGTTATGTCACTAATTGTTTCTGTTATAAAGAAACCAGATGGAAGTATGTTTTCATTCTGAAAGCCTTAGGCCATGATTTTAATAACATCTATGAACTTAAATTGTTTTTAATATGTGTACAGAATATGAAAATGTTTTTGATTCCTTATTCTAATTGAATGTTTACATGGGGAATCTGTTTGTTTTGTTTGTTTCACCCTCTTCCCTGGAAAAGAATAATTGTGAATTCTATTGGTAGAAACTTGCTACAGCTGTAAGTTACAACTGTGAATTTCAAAACTACTGTCCATGCATAACAAGAAATTTAAAGATTTGAAAAATGCTTTGAATTTGAATGATATTCTAGGAGATGTTTTGTTTGAGCCTATTAATTATGTTTAGTAATTAGCTGTGTTATATAATTGTAATTAGCTATGTAATTAGTAATTATCTGGGATAGCCTATGGTTTCCATTTACTTTCCTTCTTAATTGCTGCAAAATATTCTGCTGCATTTTTATAAGTAAGTACTTGTTAATAAAGCTGATGCAAGAGAAGAGAAGGTCTAAATCCTAAATGTTTTTGCAAAGATTATATATGTAGGGGCATTTGACTTTTTTTAAAAAAACTTTTTAAAAAATATTTTAAAATATTTTTTTAAATATGCAAGGGACTCCAGAGAATGTAAGTCACTTTTCATTTATGCTACCATTAATTTCACTAGAGCAAATTAAAAAAACCCTTAGTTATCAGCAATGGGATTGAAAAATATTAATATTCTTTTTATATTTAATATAGTACTCTTCTCTAGAACTATTCTTCCATTACTCTACAGAACCATGAAAATCTTCTGAAATGCCCAAATATGCAAAACTTCTTCTGGGAGTCTGAGTTCCGAATGTACCTCATCTTTCTCAAACCATAAGGTCTTTTGATCCATTAAGTCATAGGATCTGTCCTTCCTTGTTCATTGTTCACGTCAAGTGCAGCTCATCAAACATCTGACTGGGAGGCCCTAGCTCATAAGCCCTTCTTTTTTACCTTGGGAAATCTCAAATTAGACTGTGCATTTTCCAGCACCTGTAGCAGCCTGCTTTCAATTGCCATATACTTCAGGAATGAAAGAGAAATCCATAGTGCAGCTCTAGTTCTTATATAGTAAGCTCATATCTAAACTCTGCTCTTGTCTGACACACTGCATCAGTATCTCAGAGCAGAAAATAAAGAGTGAACACCTTTGGTGGAACATTTGTTCTCTCAGAGGTTCTTGTAACTATGATGAAATAAGAGTTTGAAAACTGTTCATTGCAGTTTTGAATTGAAATGTGGTGGGAGGAGAAATCATGTACTCTTGAACTGAACAACAGTGAAAAAAGTATTTGTATTCACTTGTGTTTATAATGATATGTTGTTTTAGCAGTAGTATTATGAAGTTCTTAATCACAAATTAGGGTTTCTGTTTGTTTTTAACTTGAAGATACTAAACAGTAAATAAATATGTATGCCTATTTGTGAAAGAATGACACTGCAAATTAGTACAGACTTAATAATTAAGTGTGAGAAGAGTGCTCCTTCAGCTTTTCACTCTTCACAATAATACAAATAATGGCTTCTAGCATGCCTATAAGAAATGACCAAATTCTCTAATTTGGTTCTTAAGCAAAATACAAAAAATAAAGACAGTTAATGGATGGATAGATGCCTCCAAATGTAAAGGTGTGTCTCATGGGCACTAAATGAACAAACTTCAAAGTTCTGTATCTTCGTCCTGAATTAAAAATATTGTTATCTGTTTTAAAATTCCATTATTGATGTGGGACCGGCATATTTTGTGACCTTATTAATCTGTACAGCATAATTTTAAGTAGGCAAGTGTACACATATTCTTTTGGAGAAACAATAAAAAAATGTTGATAGTTTACAAAGTTATTTACAGCTTTAATATTGATGTATGAGTGCATACAATACAACATAGTTCATTGGAGAAATATGTTAAAATTAGAATTAAATCAAGTTATTTTAATACTGAGGTAATAATTATGGATTTAATGGCTAAATATCTACCTCATTTCTTCACTTAAAGATATCTTAAACTAAAAGAATTACATAAACTTTTGAGTGCAAGAAGGAAGAGTGCTCTTTATGTGGCTTAGTAGAATAGCCATATTAGGTAATAAAATCATTTCAGAATTCAAATTGTGCAGTTTACTTTAATAAGCATACCTATTTCTGGCATAAGAAATTCTTACTTTTTTTAGTTGAAATATCTGACTTGGTGACATTTGTTTAAAGTAAGTAAGTTTATTAGGATTAACTATGCCCTGCGGATATGCAGGTTTGGTGTATTGTAGATATACCCAAGTTGGAGAGTTCTGTGTTTAGTCTATCTCTTTCTTTCATGCTCAGATCCTCCAGTATCATTTTAATGGCTTTATGGGGCTATGTAAGTGTCCTACATAATCCAAGTGCTTCTGCTCTAAAGCAGTACTTCATGAAGTTCCCTTAACTCCGCAGACTCCTAATACACCCATTAATGCCCAGTTTCCTTTAATGCCAGGAGAAGAACAATGTTTGTTTGTTTAGAGTCACTGCAAAAGCGATGAGACACATAGAGGATTGGATTCTATTACCTTATTCTTTTATAGTCTTTTTCATAGTTGTAAAAACGTTATCTGCTCACCAATGCCAGGTTGTACTTTTATGTTCTATGGGCCATTGTATAAAGTTCCCTAAGGTTTGTGTTTATTAAGATTGCTTTTCTATGCTTCTAGATATTCATGTCTTTTCAAATGTACTGAGGATAATAGCATGATGTTTTTTTTCTTTTTTTTTTTTTTTTTCTGAAGGTCTGAAATACTATGCTATATCTATTACATAAGATAATTATATTGGTGTGAGTAAAGAGTTCTTTGGTAATTATCTGTAAATGTCTTTTTTTGCCAGTAGATGACTAACACTATGAACAGGTGTATATCTCTGCATCTTTGAACTTTTCACAACAGATATATGAACAACTACTTCTCTGTTTTTAAATAAGGAAAGCTAATATTCTATCAAAACAACATGTGGAAATTGCACATGTGATAGACTGTGTTTAGCTTGAAGGGGTAGGAATGAATAAGACTTCATCCTTAATCTATATATACGTTACTGTAATTTTTAGCTCAGCTGGGATGATTGCCAGGACACTGACTCAGAAGATTAATTCACTACACTCTGTGTTTAAAGACTTTACCCAAGGACCAGTCCACTTGCTAGCAGTAGATAGTAGATCAATCTGTAATGGTATGGAACTAAGCAGTGACTATTTTGCTTTAATTGTTCTAATACGTGTAATTTTTCTAGACAGTAGAGTCCTAGTTCTATCTCTTTTTCTAGAGGAAAGAGTTACTAGGCTGTTGAGTCTGTTGCCTTATTTTTTTGGCTTCAGAAGTGAAATAAAGTTTTAGCGAAACGCATTGAATTCCCTTCTAAATACATAACTCTGCTTCATGATCCATGCTCTGTTTTTCAGTTCAGTTTTCCTTTTCACTAGTTGTTGTCAGTATTGGTATTATTGAGGATGATAATTTCAGAAATGCAGTTATCTAGTGGCAATAAAATTCTTTGATTGCAATAAAAATAA